CCCCCCCTCAAAAAAAAACATTTAAAAAAAATAAAAATAAAAACTATGCCTTTTTAGAAGTTAAATTAATTTAATGTTTACATAAATAATTAATTAATTAATAATATACAGAGGTTGTGAAAAAGTTAGCACACCACATGAAAGCTGTATTTTTTTTTTTCAGCATAAGACAAAAAAAAATGATGGCTCCTCCATCCCGTCGGTGTCGCCCTGGCTCATCGGCTTTCCGTCTCTGCCTCGGGCTCCTCCGCCACCTGCTCCGCTGCAGTCGTTTGGTCCCCTGGAGTAGTCAGCCCTTCCTCCTCCATGGCTCCTCCCTCCATTAGCCCCACCGTGGGTCGTTATCATGGCTGTGGCCTGGCACCTTCTGATCCAAGTCCCTCCTGTCATCTCCCTGGCTCCCTGGACTGCCTGCTACGTCATGGCCTCCTGAGCTCCCTGATCCGCCATGGTCTCCTGAACTGCCTGATCTGCCCTGGAGGCCTTCCTTGTCCCCGTCCTGCACCAGCTTCCAGGGCGCCCGCCCCCCCTTCCTGATTGAATTGTTATGGCAAGGGACGCACCTTCCGGGAGGGGGAGTAAAGTCGTGCCCATGGACTGTTTTGTGTGTGTTTTCCCTCCACATGTGCTCCGTGACCCAGTTTCTCCTTCTCCTTGATGGTTCATTTGATTCAGGTGTGCCTTGATGTTTAGTTCTAATTACCCCATGTATTTAAGTTCCAGCCTTTGCGTTCTGTCTTTGTCAGGTCTACTTGTTGGATTACGTGTGTTTACCCCTGTTCATGTTGTTGATTTACCCCTGCGATTCTCTCATTAAATACCGTTTATGTTATCCACATCTCCATCATTCCTTCCAGCAGCGAATCGTAGGTGTCGAAAGGTGTGGAGATGGCTGACTGTGTGCAGGTGTTAAACAGAAGGGATGCTTGGGAAATATAGTTCCAAGTGGACTGGGCTAGTGACTAAGGATAGTGACTGGACTGGGGACTGTGATTGTGACAATTACCACTAGTAATACCCAAGGTTATTATAGTTTTGAATTTTTTAATTAGTTTTATTTTAATATCGTTTTCAAATTAGCTATAAAATTCAGTTTAGTTTTTATTAGTTTCATTCACATTTTTGTTAGTTTTAGTTTAGTTTTTATTTTTTGAACGCATTTTTATTTAGTTTTTACCCCAAAAAAAACAAATAAAATAAATGAATGAATAAATAAATAAAAATAAAAACTATGCCTTTTTAGAAGTTAAATTAGTTTAATGTTTACATAAATAATTCATTAATTCATAAATAAATAATATACAGAGGTTGTGAAAAAGTTAGCACACCCCATGAAAACTGTATTTTGTTTTTCAGCATAAGACATATGGATACTGCATCAACAGCTCACTAGTGTCAACAGATATCAATAAAGCAAAATACTTTTTTT